CTGTCACGTTCTCTCGTCCTGGCCACACCTCCGCTCTCTAACCCCCCCTTCCCCACCCACACCCCCTCCCCTACCCACTTTGATGCATTTTTAAAATTTCGCCTTGGGGTGGAGTTATCTTTTTACAGGGAGGGTAAGATACACTTTAAGAAACTTGGCATGATACAAACGATTTTACACGTTATGTCACATTAATGGCATATTTTCTTTTGAATTTGGCTCAGCTAAAGTGAAACAGGAAGTGACATCAAAGGGGACTCTTCAAGAAATAAAACCTTCTCGTTTTGTTTATTTAAACAATATTATTTGAACTCTGACTCATCTCTCTATGACGGTGATTAAAATAATCCAAAGAAACATCAGATTCTTCTCTACAGTCTGTGTTGTCGGCCTTTGTAGCAACGCTCTGTTTACATTCAGACATTCCCCTTTGACATCACTTCCTGTTACTTCACATGCAAATATCTCAACAACTGTTCAAATTTTTTTTTTTACAATATCACAACATTGTTATCTTTCCAAAAATACATTCATATTTATTACAAAAAATTGACGTCACAGGCACTTTAATTCTTCAAAACTGAAGGAGAAATAGATTTTTTTGCGTGTTTGCTAAAACCAGTTGGCTGTGGCAGCCATCTTGAATGGCATTAACATAAAAAGTTATTCAGCTGTAGACGTACAGTCAATGATTACATTGACCTAAACATGTCCATGACCGGTGAGGCATTTGTTGAAATAAACAATCAGATTTAAAGCAGATTTATTTTTTTACAGCTGTTTTTCCAGTTAGGTTTTTAACCTCATTAAAAAAAGAAACTGGTAATTTTTTTAATAATTTAAAAAAGACTTTTGCAGTAAGATCAGATGGTTTTTGCCCTCCTCATCATTAAGTATGACAAGCATTTACATAAACTCCTAACAGCAGCTGTCCCAGATGTGCCTGAAGGTGCGAGAGCCGCTCGCAGCTTTAATTAGCATTTTTTTCAACTTGCAAATGAAAAGAGGTGGCAATAAATAATTGCAAACAAAACTGTTTTGTGAGAACAGACACAACTAATAAATCACCAGCTCTTATATAACAAGCTGTCCACAACAATTTGTATTTATAAAAACAGAGTGAGGAAGTAGCATCAGGCCTAAATAATCCCAGTTTGTTTTGCCGTGTCGCAGAAACCCACCTGTGAGAGACGGCTCRTCTGGTTCCTGATTGTGAATGGATTTGAAGTCCAGCTGCATTCGGGGAAGAGCAAAGATGGTTTCTGTTTCGTGCTTGTAGGTGTGGGAGCCGCGGAAGCTGCTCAACAGACTGGAGCTTTTGGCGGCCGCTCCGCTCTCCTGGTTGTTGGCTTCCACGTTCCTGAGCAGGTTCAGCTCTGAGGCAGGAGATTAAACACGTCAGACTGTGCTTACATTAACGTGACACATGTACGATATGACTTCATCTTATGTGATTTTACTGGGATGCAACGTGTGGCTAATAAAAACTATCACTTGTGAGCCTTTTTTCATTACAGGTGTGAGCTTTTCTCTTGTGGGTTTATCTCAAGGACTCTTTCAACCAGCGGCAGATGCTGGTCTTTCAAACTGGGACTGGTGCGAGGCTAGTGTGAAGTGTGTCTGCCTGTGAGTGCTTTGTGACGGTGGAGGGGCTCAGCAGCACCTGCTGGACACAAACTGTGATAAAAGTCAGAGAGTGCACTGCAAAAAATGTCCATCTTACCAAGTTTTAAAACCTTATATCAGCCAAAAAGTCTTTTTGATCTTGTTTTGAGACTGATTTACTAAACAAGAACTGATTGTGTAAGAATTATAATCTTGTTTTCAGAATGTGTAAGGTTATTTGTCTTGTTGGTCTGAAAATTTGACTCAAATTAAGTCAAAAATTTCTGCCAATGGAGTAAGAAAATTTTACTTGGTAAGATTCTTGAAATACTTGATTTGACTCATTTTTTTTCTTATTTCAAGAGTCTTATCAGGGGTTCTGCTACTTTTTGCTTTCAGCCAGCCTTTTGCTACTTTCGTTAACCCCTTAACAGTTGCCCCTGAAGCTGTATTATTATTATTATTATTATTTTAAAAAAATTCTGTCAATATACCGTAACTCACCAGCCCAAACTGCAGGGGTTACGAAGAAGATTTTAACAGGATAGAAGAAAAGAAAAAAAATTAGCAGACATGTCAACCTATTGGGGGCGCCATAATCAAGGTCTTTGCATTTGGTCCTCTGGCTTTTAAACATAAGTCACAAAATGTTTAGGCTTATAGCACCATAATCCCCGGACACCACTGAGTCACATGCTATAGGCAACACCCATTTCTGCCTAAACTTTTTTTTTTCTACAGCGCAAAATTACAACAACTTTTGGCTTTGTTTTAAAGATTTAAAGACTGATTGCCTCCAAACTCACCATCCTATATCTAGTTAGTATGCTGATTTTAAGTCCCTGTAAGCATTTCAACATTTTTGGTAGGTGTGCACGATATATCGGTACTGGCCGATATTGGCAATTTTTTAGAATATCGGTATTGGATCGATAAGTAAAACTGGGTCGATATTAACGTCCGATATTGATTTCCCACTTTTTAGCTTTAGTTTCTGTTTTGGGAGGGGAGATGTTTGTTTGAGCCGCATCTGTTTGATCATAATAGTGATAATGATGCTGTGTAACCAGGAATAACTGAAGTAGAGTCATGTCAGAGGCCTGGTTGTTTATTTACGGTATCAAAAAAAGACTCAAGTGTGTTTGTGTGTATATGTATAATATAATTTGTGTATATGTATAATATAATTTGTGTAATATCGGTAAATATCGGTTATCGGTCTTAACAGCAATAATTATATCGGATATCGATTTTGGCTGAAATTTTCATATCGGTGCATCCCTAATTTTTGGTAAGGGAGTCAAATTAAAGATAAGAACATCTGAGGAAGCTGCCTGACAACCTAGTTTTCAAAATAAAAGCCCCCCGTAGCGTCTGGAAATTTTTAAAGGGAGAAACCGTATCGTTTTTGCCCACTGGTGGAACAAAGTGTGTTAACGGGTTAATCAGGTTAAAATAAGCCAAAAAAGAGTCTTGCAAACATAAACAAACTCTACAGTCACCTTCATTCCTCATGGCAGTGACGTAGCTAAACCATTCTTTCACAGTAGCAACCCCATGTGGTGGGTTTTCGTGGCGCTGGCGAGTGATTTTGGTGATGGTGGCCATCGGACTTTCCAGAGCGCCGCACGGTTTCGTCACCATGGTGTTGTGACCCAGGTGGAAGTCCAGCGTCTGCACTATGTACGTCGAGTCGTCTTTGGAGCCTGGTGGGGAAGAAGAGTGGTGAAAAAAATGTCAACGCTGCCACAGAAACAAGAAGGAAAACAAAGGTGTTTCTCATCCTCACCGTCCTCCCAGATCTTCTGCGCCTCCGTCCAGAAGGCGATGTTGGGCTCCTCCAGGTGGAACAGAGCCCAGGACTTGGAGCGGAAGTTGGGCCCGTGGAAGCAGGCCAGCGTCATGTGGTTGCCGTGGAGGCTCATGGAGCCGCCCAGCTGCACGGCGTCCTCGGGCAGGGGCATCTGGAAGAGGGAAATGTGGCAGCCGGCGACGACCTTCAGCACCCCGGGCCAGTGCCGGTGATGAGCTGCATCCATGTCTGCGGTGAAGGAGAAGGCGGGGAAAAACGATCACTTTGACCGGAATGATGCTGTTCGCAGGATTTGACGTTGTTTTCATGTAACCTTTAATCTTTAAATTTATTCAGCCGCTGCTGTTATTTCTGATCACCTAGTGAGCATGTCTGATTAGATTCAGCTGCTTCGACAACAGTGTCGACKGCTTGAAAAGGCGGTATACAAATGAAGCTCATCAGAATTACAAATCATTTCACTTCCTGTACAAAACACGCTGTGCGGATCTTATTATGTAAAACTCTGCGTTAAATGTGTCAGCCGAAGGAGGTGCTCACACAGCTCCGCCGCTCCTTTCTCGGCGTTGATGACGGGGGTTTTTGGGGGCAGGTAGGGGCCGGGGCCCCACGTGGAGAGGGCCCGCTTGCTGGTGTCGAACTGCTGAGTGAAAAACTCCTGCAGCTTCATGCCGATCTTGATGAGGTCCGGCGTGGTGGAGCGTGAAATGATCACCTGGAAAATGTCCCAGTGCAGGTCCCCGTGGACGAAGATCTCGCTGTGAGGAGGCAGGGAGGAGGTGAAGAACAAAAAGGACTGAGAAAGATTGTCAAGAATAATGACAAACAATGTTTAAAATGACAAACAATGTTTCAATGTTTCAGTCTAGAAGCCAGCAGAGCTGCCGCATGGCAGCTCTGCTGGCTTCTAGACTGAAACATTGTAAAGAAAGTGCAACAAATTGAAATAAACGTCTATTACAGGGTTCCCACATCTCGGCTAACATCAAACTCAATGACTTCTCAAGGACCTTCCTCCACCAGTTTCCTCAAGTTCAAGCACCACATGCTAACATCAATTACCTACTGCTGAATTCTCAATAAAATAATTTAATACAATGAAAATATAATAAAAAACTGAACGACATACAACTTATCGGGTCAGAATCAATGAAAGAAAGTGAACTAAATGGACATTCGTATCCACAATGCATGGATTTGTTTAGTGAAGGTTGAAGCCTTGAAGATCTGCAGCAGACGTGTTGTAAAATGGTTCATTTCTCGATGACTCTGACTCAACGTGACAACTCATCGGTGAGGATGCACGCATGGTGCATGTGCTGCTGTGCATCACAGCCTGGCATGCAGAACAGTGAGGTTCTGTGACAGCTTCTACTAGGGCTGTGTATTGGCGAGAATTTGGCGATACGATACATATCATGACAGAGGGGTCACGATACGATATATCCCGATATATTTCRATAYTGTAAACAAGGCGATATGTTGCGATATTTTTAGTCCAAAAATTCTATTAAATAAAAACTTCTTACTGGGAAAAAAAAAAAAAAAATTCATTGTCTCAGAAAATTCTAATATTACATAGACATACTTTTGATACATTTAGCTGTGTTCTGCTTTGTATGTGTTTTATTTTATTTGTTTCATATTTCATCCATGTTTTCAATTATTAGACTAAATTTGCCGATAAATAGTTTGAAAATATATTTTTTGCAGCTTTTAGTTTTTAATATTAATTTACAATATGGTCACCCAACACTTAACAATAGCCTCTATGTTGTCATAAAGTTCAGTAAACAGATGATATGAAGCTGCTGCACAGAGTTTCTGGGATCAGCTGACCTGCATCCAGAACCTGATTTACATAACTGTGGGTCGAACAGCAGGGCAGGTCCCGAAGAAAACCAGTTAAGAAATTGAGAAGCTAAACGATTTAAACCATTTTTGAAGCGAAGACAGCAGGATAAAGTATACAGACTTTGATGCGATCATCAGCTGGACATTGAGAGCAACAGAGTTTTATGTCACGGGGGGAGTGCCGAGCTCGCTCGAGGTGATAGACGCATGCGCTATATGTAACGTGAAGGCTGACTACAGTTGGAAAAAAGAGCACAAGACACTTAATTTGGCTTAAAATACAGACATTCTGACAAATAAGTAACTGTTTGTAACCTTACCTCAGCTTAGAAGGCAGAGGGTGTCGGTCTTTTCCGCTCAGATTCAGCTATCGGAGCATGAAGCTAATGTTTACTCACAATGCTAATGCTCTCTTACTCTCTGGCGCTCAAGAGGTAGAGGAGCCGAATGGCTGGCTCACTGCTGCCAACTAGTGGTCAGAGGCTGAACTACAACATAAAAATGAACAGCTGGCAGGAAAGTTGACATTTTAAACCTTAATAAAAAATCAATACAGGGCTTTATCGATACAGTATCGGGAAATGAAATTTCGCGATATTTCTGTGTATCGATATTTTCTTACACCCCCTAGCTTCTACCCAACCGCCACCAGACTTTTGAACACTGCAAAAAAACCTAAGACTGTAATGCCTTTTCATCTGCCTGCTTTTAATTGTTTTGCACTTATTGGTTATACATCTCTTGCAYAAACTGAAAACTTTGCACTTATATTTGCACTGCCTCCCCTTTTTTGATCTGGTTTTTATTCTTATTCTATTTTATTTTACAATATTTTATTCTTCTTCTATATGTTTTATACAGTTTATCTAGCTGGTTCTGCATCGTAACTTCTTCCTGCAGTGCATCTCTGATGTTATGCTGAACGACAATAAAGATAACCTGAATGTTAACTACATTAAATRTGTACAGGCAACAAGAACGCGAAGTCTAACAAACAAAACTAAATAATAATCACACGCCGGCAGCGGCAGTCATCCATGTGAAATTTCAAACCCCAAAAAACATTCAAGGACTTTCAAGGATGGGTGTCCTTTATAGTGGTTTTCAAAAACTGTACTTGGTTTTTTATAATTCACAAACTTTCAAGGATCTCCTGTATTTATATYTCATGGCGTACCTTTTTTCAGACAGGCTGCTGTCAACGGTGCACAAGTTGACCTTCCATTCGTCCTGCAGCTGCAGGTCGGCATTGCTGAAAACGCCCATCAAGATGCTGGAGCCCATGTAGTCCACCCGGGCCTCCGTAGAACCCATGGTGATCTGGATCTTGTGGCTGGGCTGCTGGTTTGGGTGTTCAGAGATGTGGGCTGAAAAGCACATAAATTATTTTAGCACTCACTCTGCTGGAGATATAAAAATATATATTTCAAAACTTTCTGAAAGCTCCCAGTGATGATCCATTAAACAGTTTAAACTTTATTCTGGTGAACAGCCGCTGACGAGGTGGAGGGAAAACAGCTAATGTCAGGAAAGTTGATCCTTGGTRGACTTACAGACCATCTCCAGGGTGTTCACGTCGATGTTTCCGCCCACCACTCCGCCTTTGGAGTCGAGCTTGGAGCGTCCGAGGCCCACAGACATGCTGATCTCCCGGTCCCGGTTGCTGCCGACAGACAGCCGGCCCTGACTCTTCAGGCCGCTGGTTGTCCAGCTGAAGGGCAAAAAAACAAACCGTGAGAGCCGCTGAATAATGCAGAACGAGATTAAACATGACTGACTCATCCCAGGAAGATGCTTGGGGAAAAACACGAGTAACCAGAGAGGAAAGCAGGAGTCGATCTGGAACACGCAGTCACCTGGTGTTTTTGTTTTATCGTCTTTATGTGCCAATTATCTGCTTCTGCTTGTGTTTGTAAAATTCTGAAAACAACTAYTTTAAACTGAAGCTACACCTTTACAAAAAGCCTGCAGGACAGAAGAACATCCTGAAGAAATCAATTATTTAGCAAGAGCACAAAGAGGACTTGTGAGGAAAAGCAACGTGGCTTCATGTGGCACTTTTGATTTAGTTCAAATGATGTTTGTGYCACTGTTTCTGCTGCATTTTCTGCCTCAGCATTAAACTTAAAGRTGGGCAAAAACATGAGCAATAAAGTGCTGAAAGGAGAAAATGTGTTATACCAGAGTTGGTGCGGATTACTTGGATTATAAAATAAAACACTGAAAATGTTTAGCTCAGATGCTAACGGTCAGTCAACAGACCACTCAGGCTCATCAACACTAAAATAACATTTTTTTAACATAAACAATAACAAAAATAGACAATTCAATAAATAAAATTGTGGGCATAAAATGAATGCATTCAAAATGTTCAATGTAAAGGTTTCAAATAAAAAAACCTGTAAAAAATAGATTTGGTAAATTGCAAATGAAAATTTGCAATTTATCAAATTTAAACTTTTTAAACTTTTGCATGGTAGAACCAGAAGCTGCTCTTCACATTAGTGACAAGTAACAACAGCTTTTTGACAAGTTTAAAGTTTCTTTAAAATACATTAAAAATGTTAACAAATAAACTACAAAAAATATTTATTTGACTAAGTGCAAATTAAAATATAGCTGTATCTGCAGCTGTATTTGATCATGTTTTGAACTTTGAAAATACTGCATGACAAAACCAGAAGCTGCACTTCATTTTCGTGACAAACTTTGGTGTTTTCTGACAGGCTGTCTTCATTTTTGCTTCTACTTCTTTTAAAATAGGTTTCCATTCTTGGCTGGTAGCTAAGGTTCTTCTTCTATGTATTAAAAAAGTTGTTAAACATCTGAGTGGCGCACTACTGCTACTAGTGGTGAGAAAGTGTATTGCAACTTACTCAAAATCAATGCGGTCCCACGGCCCTCTGTGGCCCAAAGTTAAAAACTGTTGTTCTTTTGAGGCCCTCAAGGTGGCGCTCGTAGCCCACAGGCTAAGAATCTCTGGTTTAGACCCTGTTTTTGTTCGATGTGCGCTTCACATTTGTGTTTCCACTTCAGTCGCTGAGAGTCAAGAAAGTCCTTTCTGACAGATTTACTGTTGTTTTAATTTGAAGTTTAAAGCCAGTTTAAAGCTCAGAGGGTTTTTTTTCCGATTCATAAATAAACACCTCAGGAGGTGAAAATAGATATTTTGGTTTAAGCACCAACAAATAATTGCATCCTGTTATGTGCTTGGAGAGAGGACTCAGAGTATTCGTGTAAAATTAAAAAAATGAAGCAATTTGTTAAAAACAGGCAAGAGCAAATTAGGGCCCGAGGGCCAAACGCGTCCCTTGAGCCACTTTAATCCGGCCCTCAAAAACCCTCGTACGAAAACAAAACAACTCACTGTCTCCAGAGGAAAGTCAAACCAGGTCTTTTATGCCTTTTTACCAGTTTTAGCATTAATGTGGGACAAACAACTGCACTTTTATGTTGGAGATTTGAAAAAGGTTTTCTATTTTTTCCTGTAATTATGACTTTGCTTATGCATAATGAATTTTATGTCATTTTTTTTAAACATATCTTCATTTAGACCTCCAGACTCTTAGATCTACAGTAAGCTGTCAAATCCATGAATAAATCAGTTTGTTTCTCTGCCTGCAGAGACTTACGTGTTGTTTCCCATCACGTTGCTCATGTTCATTTGGACCGTGAGTTGTTTTAAGTTGATGGCGAACACCACCAGCGTCTCCCAAGGAGACCCCTGCTGCCCAGCTGACTTCCCGTTCTTACTGAAGGAAGGAGTGGATGTTTTGGTCACAGAATCTGGGGGGAAAGCAACAGAAATGCAGTTGTTGAATGAATTCCTTTAAACTGAAACAGGAACAGAGGAAGTGTTCCCGGTYGGTTACCTCTCCTGGGAGCGGAGGAATCAGACACGCTCCGGGTGCGTCCCGGAGCGGGAGACTTCAGGTGACCCAGGCTGCTCGGGGACATGTTGCTCCCGGTGGAGTGCTCCGAGAACACATTGGGGGACGGAGGAATGTGAGACCCCATGCTGCCGTCCCAGGTCCTCCAGTAGGCCTTCCTGCTGGACTCGGGGGAGAGGTGCTGGGTGATGTTTTCAGCAGAATCAGGGGTGGCAGGCCCAGAAGCTGCTGTCAGGTCAACATTTGGAAACTTTAGGAATCTGGTTGTTCACTTTTTGACTTTTTTTTGGTAGTCTTTCAAAAAGAAAATCACTGTATGTGTGCTAAAACGTGTTAAGAAGAAGACAAACAACAGAGCCTAACTTTAGTAAGAACTCTGTGGGTCAAGATTTAACTACAGAACCAGATGACGATGCAGACGACTGGTTCACAAAATGACAGCAGCAGRAAATTGTGACCCTAATTATCTCTGGTTAAAATATGCAAATTCTGCAATTAGGCCAATAAAACCATCATTATACTTTTTCCATTGACTTTTTACAACATATTCTGACAAAAAAAGGAATCCGCTAATATTTAAGATCGATTTTTGTTTCTGGAAATCATCTCCAGACCTTAAACTGGATACTTTGCGCCCTACAGTGTGCACACACTTTTTGGGAAACGCTGCTGTAAATGGCTCACACACACATACAGAACTACCACTTTCACCGACACACACAAAGAGCAGGTACCCGGAAGGTTGATGGTCTGGTCTCCAAGGAAGAGGCGTCGGGCGATGCTGCGACGGTACCAAGCTCTGGGGAAAGCCAAGATCTCGCTCAGGCGTCTCATGTCGTATTTGAAGGAAGCTGAGCCGATGTCGCACACAGCTGAGGAGAGAAAAAAACACCTTTACCTGGAAAACACTCCTTTGGCAACAGGTTTCCCAGCACTAAGTTGAGTGTTTTCTTATAAATGTGAATTTGTCTGGTTAGTTTCTTTGACCATTGCTTCAGAAATTACTTGAAAAAGAGTTCATGATATTAAAAATGTGCAACTCAGAAATCTCTTATTTTGAAATTTATACCCTTAAAAAATAATGACTTCGAAATGAGACCAAAGATGAAATCCTGTCCTTAATTTTTTCATCTGATCTCCTGCTGGGAATGCCTCGTTAACAGAGTTGGGGTGTTTTCCARGGATACCTGAGATGTTGATGAGGGTCGTGTCCATTTTGCCTCCTTTAGCAGAAATGCTGTCGATGAAGGTTGGACCTCCTGTGCGCCTCATCCTGGACAAACTGACTTTMACAAACTCTAGGTTGATGCTCAAGGAGTCCTTTCTACCCGTCACTGAAGATGGCTCCTCGTCCACTGTACCTGCAGGGGAAGCATTTAGCAACAACAGCAATCTCCTTCATAACAGCCATCGTTATATTTCTGCCAATCTACAGAATTATAGATGCCAGGCGTTCAGGAGGCAGGTGTATTATTAAAAGACTGAAGCTCCGAGACATTAGTGAGTTTTTATTGCATCGAGTTTTCAGTACCTAACGGCCCCGGGCCYGGAGGCAAGCCTGTAACAGCTGATTTCTGCTTGCCGGCGCCGTAGGGATGGAAGACGTAGAGGGAGAAGTCTGACATGCAGGCGGTGAAGCTCAGGCCTGAGGAAGTGACGGGGGTGGCGGTGAGGTCTGACTGGCTGCTGCTGTGCCGGGTCCTTCCTAAGGGGCTCCCMAGAACTGGAGACGCTGCAGGGAGGAAGAGGAGAGCTGCACAGATTAATAACACATACACCAGGAGAAACACTCTTCCCCCCAGAATGATGTGCTGTAAGAGACACCCACCTTTGCTGGGAGGTAATTTGGGGACGTGCTGCCCAGGTGGGGTGGAGGAGGGTGGGTGTGATCCATCGGGAAGGTTGGATCCTGTCGGGGTTTCCAGCTCTCCCCGGTTGGAGGAGAACACCAGGTCTAAGGAGGGAAGCTTGAGCATGCACTCCACCCTGGACATGGGCAGGCAGCTGAAGCGGATCTGAGAGGGCTGGAAACAAACACGACCAGAGAAAACACGTCATTCCACACATGGAGAAACACTCAAATCAAACTGGTGCAGGAAGCCAGGAATCTAGAATTTTTTCCTATTATACATAAATGACCTTCCAAAAATATTGAAGTATTCAAATATTTTAATGTATGCTGATCATACTGTTCTTTTTTTGTCTGATTTCAATATTGAATCTATTAATAGTCATTTACAAGCAGATCTTCAGACATTTCATGGTTGGCTTCAAGATAATCTTTTGTCAATTAATGTTAAAAAAAATCTGTGTGCTCGTATTTTTCCTCACCCAGGAGACATTTCAATATAACAAATCAACTCACTTTTTAAACAAACTCAAATATTGTCACTACCTACAAATATCTTGGAATTACTTTGGATTCTCATTTGACTTATYGTGATCATGTACAAGTCTTAACAACTAAGTTGAAACAGAAATTATGCGTTTATTCAAAAATTAGATCCAATCTGACATCTTCTGTTTCAAATATCTATCTTCATGCCATTATACTCTCAACCATGTCGTACTGTTTACCTGTTTGGTCTCTTACAACAAATGAAATCTTAGAACCCATAGTTAGGCTCTACAACAGGGCCTACAAAATTCWTAAAAAACTTCCTGGTTGGACTCATCACTGTACAGTTCTTTCATTGTCTGATGCCTTGACTTTTCAGAATTATGTTTTGTATAGAGGTATTAATTTATATTTTCAGATCTTCCAAGGTGCCAATTATTTAACTCTCTGTGCATTGCTGCCCAAATCAAATTCTGGAAGTGGTCATTCAACTAGATCTGTTACAAAAGGACAACTGATATTACCAACTTTTAAAAACTGTTACGGCCAGAGGTCTTTCTTCTATGTTTATACTAAAGCATGGAATGACATTCCTCAAAACATAAAGTCCATTTCAAAACTACAGCCCTTTAAGAAGAATCTTGTCTGCCATCTGCTGGACACTTTTTGTTGTGCTCATATTTAGACGTCTTATTTTGCAAATGCTGCCTTCCTGAAATTTGGTATGCTTGTTTGTCTTTGTGTCTATGGTGTAWWA